TAGGCTGCAGTCCTTGACACTCTGCAGCAGGCGCTTCAGGTCCTCTTCATTTTCAGCAAGCAGGGTCGTGTCATCCGCATAACGCAGATTGTTGATAAATTGTCCACCAATCTTGACCCCACATTTCTCCTCATAGGCCATCAAAACTCTTGTTGGTTTCTTTATTGGTGTTAGTTTTCCATTTTCATAAGTCTGACCATAGAAATTTATAATCAGTGTTACAAGACTTGGCTATAATAAATAATCATACATTTATGCAGCTTGCATGAGATTTCCTTGTGCAAAGTGATTTTCAACATTTACCCTAACTTATGTTTGTGATCCATGAATAGCTAATGTGAATATTATTTTTCATATTCTCTCTCCTGCACTGTCGTTGCCTTTGAGTAAGAATTGGCCCATTAACTGATTCTCCAGTGAGTTTTCAGAGGTTGTAAATCACATGAGGAGGAAATTGTCCATCTTTCTCCAATGGAGAAGTTACTGGATTGGAACGGCCTGCCTTTAGGTTGGCAGCACAGCTCTTTATCCACTAGGCCATCAGGGCTCCTATTTTTTTCATATTAGGAATAAAAAGATAAGAAATACTTGTGGCACAGCAATTAAAAGATAGAGGTAGACATTTCAAGTCATGTGTCTCTGAAGGAAAAACATATGACACAAGGTTTCTGTAAAGATTATCTACTGCCATGGTTTATGCCAATTTACAGTGACTCTATAGAAGAGAGTAGGACTGCCTGTAGAATTTTCAAAACTGTGAATTTGACGGAAAGAGACTGTCATATCCTCCTCCTTCAGACTGAACAATAGGGTCAAACTTTCTACCTTTCCATTATCATCCCATTACTTTAACCACTGCACTACAGGTTCTCTAGAGATGTAATGATAATAGAATTGGGACTCTTGTCGTAGTTCTATTCTGCCATAAAACATCATTTTGAGTCAGAAGCCAACAGATAGAAATGAATTTATGAACACACTATGAAAAAAAGCTTCGCTTGCAAACTTTTTTGTTACCGATTAGTAAACATTTTCATTTTAAGTGTGTATCTTTCTTCAAAACAAAACACTGAGAAAGGTCTAACCAACTTACATGATTAAGGCCTTTTTGGGTCTGTGGTGATGTTTGAGGCTGTGAAGGGTCTAGTTGGCCTTGCTGAGATCCTTGGACAAAACTGACCTGTCCTGGGAAAAGATTCTGATTTGGAAGTAATCCAGCAAACCGATCTAGGGTTGCTAAAGAGAAGTGGGGGACACCAGAAACCTGAGGCTGCTGTTGCTGCTGCAGAATCCCAGGGAAAGGAGGAGTCAGTGAATTCAATGAGCTCTGGAACGATATAGAACAAAGGAGGGAAAAGGTCTCACTTTCATGTAAAAATAGATTTGTAAAACTATCCTGATCAAGAGTCAAAATGAAAGCAGTTCATTTCCTTTCCCCAGTAGTTTTACGTTGTAAAAAAGAAAAACAAATTGGTGTGTTATGGCTATGCAGACAATGAGAGACGGCCTCTCATGAGAAATGAGGATAGAACGAGGTGGAGAAAAGAGCACAAACATCATTCTTCAGTGGCTACTGTGTATGTAAAAAGAGGGAACGGGAATAAAATTTAATAAAGAATAATTTGAAGAAATAAATATATTTAATACTGGATGAAAGAAAAGCAATATACAATGATCAATATAAAGCATTGAACAGCTGTTGTAATTAGTTATAATAATCAATTAGAATAATGTTATAGAACAAAATGTGTATGAATGATTGAATGAAAAAACAATAGGATTTGCAAACTTTCACTCAAAATAACTTCCGAAATAGTGTATAGATTTTTGCAGTTTTCAGTTGTTTTTATTTTATTTGCTTTTCTGTAGTCTGCATAAAATTGTTCATTGAACTTTCTGAAAGGGTTGTTGGATAAAGTCAGTGTGTAGCATATACAAAATCCCCAATGAATAGATATTAATCAGATTCTGCTTTTTACTTTAACCTTCAAAAAAATGGTCACTAAAAATATAAACAAATTCAAAACTTTAATAATCAAGATTTCATTAATGAAATCAGATAGTATTTTTTTTCTCATATGAATCCTTATAAGAAGTTAAATAAAGAAAAGTATTCTCTTTCAAATAATTATTGAAATAAAGGTACCTGAAATTGTAGTGGCAAAAGCTGAGCATTATTAAGATTCAAGAGTAACTAGAAGAGGAAAAAAAGAAAAACAAAATTACTATCTAAATTGTTACTATGAAAACTATTAATAAAAACAATGTTTACTACAAATACATTACAATTCATTTGTTGTTTGTCGAGATTCCTGATAGAAGTGAGACATTTCATCACTATACTTAAATAAAATTACAATAATTAGATGTCTGAGTTGAAAACAGGTTTGAAATTTAATGACCTCTCCTGTGCTGTATTTAAGATTGTAAGACTTGAGCTCAACCTAGAGAATTAGTTCATAGTTTTATGCTTTTACATCTTTATACATCTGTATTAACTGCCATTAGAATTAAAAGATGTACTCCTTTTCTTTCTTCCTTGAAGAACTTAAGCTCAAAAGAGAGAGGCAAAACAAAACTAATTTGTAGGGGTAACCTGGGATACAAAACAAGCACAGGCATTAGAAATGTATTTGAATGTGCCCAGCAGCTCTTGTCTAGAAATACAGGATAAATCAAGTGAAGGTTCTTATCTCTTCCCCACTAGATTTTCAAAAAAGGGTGCGTAGAGATTGTTCTAAGTAGTTCAACTAACCTCATTACTGTTGCTAGCTGACAGCAGACGTCGTGGGAGAAGCTAAAAATAAATCCAGACATGTTAAAAGCAGGCGTGTTATTAAGTTTTACACCATGAGGTCAGCTTTATTGTGAAATCACTTACTGGGGCTGATGATGTGGCTTCAAGAAGCCCAAGAAGAATTAATATCTTCATTTTCAAACACAACACCTAGAAAATAAGTTAGGATGATTAATGAGCTTTAAAGGGTTTAAAATTTACTAAATCTGAGTAATGATATGCTTAGTTGGCATTGTTCAGTCAGAGGATTATTAATTCTATAGTATTTATTCATAACTTAGAATTTCAAATGAAAAAGACATATTAATAAGACCTGAAGAGAACTTAGTCTTTGCTTAGAGCAATTGTTTACTAAAAGTCCTAAAATACACTTGTCCTTTAAACTTAACGAATAACTCATTTAGTGATGTATGTTATAGTGAACAGGATCATGAATAAGTTGGCTTCATTCCCTACAGTTCTCTACGCTGAAAAAATTGGATCATTCAAGTAATAAGAGACCCAAGATGGATCAACCAACTTGGTCTTAACAAAGAAAACAGCTTTCATGTCTATATTTTTAAGAGTTCTATCCTAAAGATCTGATGATACTAGTTCATTACCAAATAACCTTCATTTAAAAGTCAAATAACATTAAAATAAACTAACACTTTTGTCGTGTGCCGTAGAGTCAGAATGAACCTGTAATGGACCCTCCAGCAGATTTTCAGAGACAGATAATTGCAAGGGAGGAATTTATCCATCCTTCTCCTGAGGAATAGCTGGTGGCCTCGAACTTCATGCCTTCAGGATTACAGAGCAGCTTTTTGCCACTAGGCCACTCAAGCTCCCAGTATCATTGTTTAAAAGATTTAGACTGTTATATTTTAGAGTATAATCACCTTGAGTATTTTATCCTTCGTCTTCTTGGTATGAAATTCCCTGTCTTACTCAAGGCACTGCTCTAACAAATGTTTAGAGTGACCCTGATAATCTTTCCTACATAATTCACTTATTTTGGTTTCTAAAACTAGAAAAACAGCAAAGATTGGATATCTTACCCACTTCTTGACCTATGAGGAGAAATCTAGAGCTTTGTGAGATCTGAGTTCTTTTAATCTTTCAGCTTTGCTTAAATTTTTAAACCCGTCTTCCGAGAAAAGGACCAATCATTTTTCAAAGACACTAATGATTCAGTGGGTTTCAGACAATGGCTTAGCTAATAACCCCTTTTCTAATCATATTTGTGGTATATGGGTCTCCACACCTCTAGTGATGTTATTAAATTATCTCCTCAGAAATGTCTTGTGATCTTCTCACACCTCTTTGGTTGATGACTAACTGTTCTGGGATGGCTTAGTTCTACTTGTTCTAGATTCTGGAAAAAGCATAGTTTAACATAATAGCTTTAAAAATATTCATTATATTGAAAAAAAATTAAAGATGATTATTTTTTTATTTAAAAATTAGTGTCTCGAGTTATTAGTCATAAGTCACAGAGTAAAATGACAAAAGTACAAAGTATTTTTAGGGCATGGTAAAAGATTCTTTAATTCATCAACATGAGTTGTGTATATATGAACTACTTTCATTTATGTTTGACAAATTTAGTGGATCTCCTTTTACTTATAAAATGAAATTATAAACCTTTGTGAATTTCTGTCATGAATTATTTATCTGTCTATGAAATAAGTGACTGGAGAAAGATGATTACATTTTTTTTAATGAAGAATAAATGCTTTGTATTTTTCTCTTTTGCTAAGTACAGCTTTAGTGTACAAAATACAACTACTTACTCTCTTTAAAGGCTGTCATAATTTAAATGGCTATCATTACGGGATTTCAATTTTCTTCTCTCTTGTTTATTTTCTGCTTATTATTAATGTTGACCTTACTTTAATAGCTAGACCAGAATCTTGAAGTTCTAATCATGCTTTGTCTTACTTCACATTCACTGTGGAAAAGTTCTTTTGGTCACGTTGACCTTGAACAACAGATATTAACCTCATTTTGTAACTGAGGAGGGGAAAATAAATAAGATTAATTTGTCCTCCTTAATAGGGTAGAAGGTCAGGTAAAGAGAAGACGATGTTCACTTCAATTGACATAATGACTGCAATAATGGGCTCAAGTCCGTCGAAAATCATGAGGATGGTGCAGGATGTTGCTGTTATGTGCCGTCAAGTTGCTTGCCGTCAAGTTGCTTGTAACCCTATGTACAACAGCCCTAAACTCTGCTCTGTCCTGTGCCAATTGCACTGTCTCCAGCACACCCATCCCGATTACCCCAGTCACTAGAGGGCCTTCCCCTCCTGCGCTGTCCCTCCATCCTACTAAGCATGATGTCCCTCTCCAAGGACAAGTCCCTCCTTACAAAATGTCCAAAATATGTCAGACGAAGCCTCAGAATCCTTGCCTCCAAGAAGCAGCCCAATTTAACCCTCTCCTGGATGAATCTGTTTGTTTTTTTGGCAGTCCATGGTACATTCAACACTCTTTTCCAGCACCACAGCTCAAAGGCATCAATTCTCATTCTATCCTCCCATAATTATTTATGTGTACCCTCAAATCTGATCTGACTGGTACAGGAGGGGATTATCCCTCCTTCCTCGGCAGAGCATCTGGTGGATCCATTTTCTTTTAATACTCCCTGTATCACTTAATATTCTGCCTAAAGCATCCTTGATTATAGCAACTCAGGGTTTGAATTTTTCTTCAGTTCCTTGAGCTTAGGAAATGCTGAGCGAGTTAGTCCTTTTCTTGCACATTTCATTGTAACAGGAGAGGGTTTATATCTGCTGTTCTTAGAGTTTCTATGAATTGTACTAAACTCAACAGCACATAACAACAAAGTTTAGGTCATGAACCCAAAATGGGATCAAACATCTTGGTCCTAATTAAGAAAACAACTTTAAAGTTTGTATTTTTAAAACATGTTGTTATTGTTGTTATGCACCATTAACTTAATGATGACTCATGGTAACCCTTTGAACAAGAGCTATAAACCCTGTCCTATACTGAGCCAACCTCACTGTCTCTGACACAACTGATCCCATCACCCCATTTACCATGGAAAACATCTCAACTGGGTCTTCCTCTCCTGTACTGTCCCTCCACATTTCCAAGCATGATGTCCTTCTCCAAGGATTAGTGTTTCCTGGACCTGTGTCCAAAGTGTGTGAGATACAGCTTTAGATACCTTTCCTCCAGGGAGCAGCCTGGTTTCACCCTTTATAGAACAGACTTGTTTATTCTCTTGGAAGTCCATGATAGGTTCAACACTCTTCTCCAGCACCACAACTCAAAGACATCAATTCTTTTCTCATTCTTATTCATTGTCCAGCTCTCTGATTCCTAGTAAGTAATTGTGAAGACCATGGCATATATCAGGCACACCTTAGTCTAGACTAACATCATTACTCCTCAGTACCGTGGAGAGGTCCCTGACAGCAGACTTTACCAACTCTATTTATATTTTGGTTTCCTGTCTACTGATACCAAAAAGTGCTGATTTTGAAGCCAAACAAACTAAAACAATTAACAATCTCAATCTCTTCTCCATCTACCATGATGCTGCCAATTGGTGCAGTGGTGAGAATCTTTGTTTTCTTGATGTTGACTTCAATCCATATAGAAGGCAGTAATCCTGGACCTTCTGTAGGAAATAAGTTAGTGCTCCACTAGTAGAACAAACAGGTTCCTCCTGGAGACAGTGAAACAAAGCTGCCCCGTGGAAGCAAGAATTCTGAAGCTCCATCTGACATACTTTAAGCATGTTGCAAAGAGGGACCAGTCCTTGGAGAGGGATATCATGCTTGGGAGTGTGTAGGGACAGCTCAAGAGAGGAAGACTTTCAATGAGATGTATTGACTCAATGACTGGGGTAATGTTGGTAGGCGTGCCAGAGACAATAAGGTTGGCACAGCATAGAGCAGGGATACGGCTATTGTACAGAGGTCATTGTGAGTTACAAGCAACTCAATGACACATAACAACAACAAGAAGACAAAAATGTATTCAGTTACACCTTTCCTGTAAGATTACTGTTGTAATGTACTATCAGGTCCGAATCTACTCATAGATGACCCTCCGGCAAGTTTTATGAAGCTGCAAATTGTACAGGAACAGATTGCTCATCCATCTTCCTCCCTTAGAGCAGGTGGTTATTTTGAACCACCTGCCTTGGGTTGGCAGTACAACTCCTTAATACGAAGTCATCAAAATTCCCTTCTATAATATTAGTAAAAGATTATTTGTTTAAAAGAAGATTGAAGAATATAAACTAATCTCCTTTACTGCATAATAGCAATTGTAAATCACACGCCACTGTTAAAGTATTTGAAACTTAGGGGAAAGGGACAATCTCTCAGTTTACTTATTTTAAGTTAACAGAATTTCCCAATGAATACCTATTTATTAATGAGTGAGGAGTACAAGCTCTAAAATATGGAAACTTTGACACTTTGGAAGTTTCCCTGTTCCTTTACTACTTACTGCAAGTATCATGCAAAAAAAATTTGTTTTTGAGGTTAGATTTACATTTTTACTTAAAGTCTTGTTTCTAGTTTTCAGGAAATCCTTTTGGCAATTTCAGCATGAGAGGAAATTACAACAAAGGGCCTGTAGATTATTTTTTATAGTTTCAGCTTCCTTTTGTTAAATACAATGGGGAACTTTAACTACATGGCCAAAAAAGGATGAGAAAAAAATCAAATGTATATTTTAGAGAGAATTTCTCAGAAAACTAATGGTGAAGGTGCTTCCTTACATGTTGGATATACTACACATTCTACGCTTTCTTGGAAAATCACAACTCCTAAGTGTACTCAAGATTCTGAGAAATTTTGCAATGATGAAACCTGCTGATCTTTAAGTAATCTGTTGTCTTTAGGTGCAAAGGGTGAACTATGACTCTATGATCCCATGAACAACAAATCTGATCTTGCCCTATCCTGCATCATCCTCATCTCTGACATACTCAGCCCACTGTTACAATATAACTGTGTCAATCCATCTTATTGAGTCTTCCTCTCTTCTCTAACATTCTAGCTTTCAAATGTTATTTCCCCTCTCAAGGTCTGATCCTTCTGATAACGTACCCAAAGTATATGAGAAGAAGAGTAGGATTGTTGTTTGTTGTTGTTAGATGCTGTCCA